TCAACGTCTTTGCGCCATAATTAATTGTGGGCATGACGATATTGTGGGACTGGGCTATTCCGCATCGGGTCACTTCCGAGACAAAGAGTACTCGATACCTGCCCAAGAAATCTCCAGCAGCGACTCGAGTACGTTTGAGCACCATATACCCAATTTTCCAGAATATTTTGTGGTCTATCAGATCAGAGGTTAAAATAAAGCCTAGTAGTTTATCTAGCAAACCGTGCATGTAGCTTCCCACTTCCAGGAAGATGTCAATAGTAGCGCTTCCCGCTGAGCATACACCAGACCGTGAGAGGTACCTTCTTTGTCCTCGAGATTCCCTTCAGGAAGTTCCATAGCAGAAACCCACTGTATGTATACTGAGACTTTTGCCTTCCATGTTATGGACACGAGAAACGCGGAGATGGCAGATCATATCTGCTCTCATGCCCTGGGCGGCCCTTTGCACCACTCGTTTTATCCAAGAATAAAGTTGGTTGGACTGAAGTAACGGGCTTTTCAGGATTGGATTCACTCTTCAAACCCCTCAAACTGGCTCAGACTACTCGTATAATAAATAATCTGCTACTGTATCGATCTTGGTTCGTATTACCCCCGGCGCAGGATCTGAAGAACCAGATCACCGGTTGCCCGATCACATACATCGCCATATTACGTGTTCGTTTGACATGATGAAAACCAAGGCGCGGTGCTCTTTAAGATTTGCTTCTTTCGTGTAGCTCTCTTGTTTCGTGATGCTCGTGTGCGTGCGTCTATTGGCCATCGTATGAGGTCTTCTGGTTCTCCAAAGCGGCATAACCAAGCGATTAGAGTATCCGTGGCTTCGTGGCAGGATGCAGCAGCTCATTAAGCGTACCTTGGCGCATACGCATGCAACGATTTGAGTAGAGAAGTGGGATGTTTGTGTGTGGTCGAAAATGCATCCCACGGTTAGCTTGATTGCGTGCTCGGGACTAAAAATTCGCCATGGCAGTGGAGGGACTCGGCCACTTCCCGGCCACGTCGCCCCTCCCAGGATGAACCTGGTCAATGGCGCCGAAGACCATGATATTGGCGTCATGTAGCATAATACAGTTCTATATGAAATTGTATTTGATGGTGATATCAGAATCCTCGTTCAATAGAGGTAGCTCCACATGTGAACACACGGTTGAGCTTAACTCTTCCCTGACGCGGCCCCTCAACTACCACCATATCATGCTTAAAACAAGTTGTTTCAGCCTTATGGAGCAAGTTACTCCACTTAATCCAGTCATGTCCTATGGTAAAGACCTAGAGTAGATCTTTACCAGGCAGCAGAAAAGAAAGTGGACGTAACTGCCATACCAGACTTATGGTATGATCGGATTGGCACGCAATTACCTTAGTTCTGACCGTGGAGAACAATAGCATGATGGATGTCTCCGCTTTGGTGGACCCTGGCCTAGCCCTATCCCGTCCTTTTACGCAGCAAAAAAAACACACGGATTGGGCCAGCTTGCAGAAAGCTTGGGTAATTGTAGCGTGTCCATTTTAATTTCTCTCTTCTGTTCGTAATAAGATGATATCACGGCAGTAAAACTTGGTTCACGGACTCGGCGCCCAGAGCATGTCCATAGTCGCGCTTACTGCGCTACAGCAGCAGTCCCTTAGAAACACTCCAGGACAAAAACTTCCTGGCGAACACGAAAGAGCTCACCCACCGTCTTACGAGCGATCGTCATTCAGCTCCCTTTGACCAAGGAGAAGGCAAACACTTAGTCTCGTGTTTCTTAATTCCATCTGTGGTTCGGTCATATCGATAAAGGCCAATGCGCGCTCGGCATGGGCGTGGAGGTGCATCTGGCCGGCACATGGCAAGCCCCCTGCTGCATTGCCATTTCGAAGCTAAAATCACGACATCGATCCCCTGTCCTCTGATAAAATATCTTACACTTCTCACGCGATAAGCTTAATATTTATTATTCCCCTCCGGATCTCATTTTCTGTCGATATATGCCACAGGCCTGAAATCTCAGTCTGCTGACACAGAAAATGACCACAAAGGTTGGCCATATTCTGGCGAAGGTGCTCGGGATCGATCTGGAATCGAACACCGACCCGTACCGTCGTGATGGCTCAGATAATGCTGGGTATTATGTCGAGACAGAGCCAACATCCGGTGAATGGCTGCGCGAGCTCGTCCCATCCCGTCGACAGATTGGTCGCTACTTCTACGACTTGTTCCCTTTTCTTCACTGGATCATGAGCTATAACTTGCAGTGGTTCATCGGTGATCTGATTGCAGGTGAGATATCTTACGTCAGTCTGTTGAAGCGAGAGAGGCTGACATCTTCAGGTGTTACTGTCGGGGCTGTGGTCATCCCACAAGGCATGGCATACGCCATCCTAGCCAAGTTGCCTGCCGAATATGGGCTGTATTCATCATTCATGGGCGTGTTAATATACTGGTTCTTTGCCACATCAAAGGATATCACCATCGGAGTAGGTACTCCATCTTTTTGTCACGACCAAAAGCTAACCCGTTCAGCCGGTGGCCGTCATGTCCACTTTAGTTGGTACCATCATCATCGAAGTCCAAAAGGACTACCCTGACATCTCAGCCCCAACGATCGCCGGAGCTCTTGCCATCATCTGCGGTGCGATCACGACCTTTATTGGCCTGTTCCGTCTCGGATTCATCGTCGACTTCATTCCTCTTCCTGCGATTACCGCCTTCATGACCGGATCTGCCATCAATGTGTGCGTGGGACAAGTCAAGACGGTTTTGGGAGAAACGGCCGATTTTTCTACCCGTGGATCGACATACATGGTCATTATCAATACCCTAAAATATCTGCCCACCTCGCAGATGGATGCTGCCATGGGCTTGACGGCACTGGCCATGCTGTATGCCATCCGCGCGGCATGCAATTATGGAACTAGGAAATACCCTCGGAAGGCGAAGCTCTTCTTTTTCTTGAATACCCTTCGCACGGTCTTTGTGATTCTGTTCTATACGATGATTAGCGCTGCAGTCAATCTCCATCGTCGCAACAATCCGGCCTTCAAGATGCTGGGTAAAGTCCCTTATGGGTTTCAGCATGCGGGCCTTCCCAAGATCAACGCTGATATCATCAAGACCTTTGCCCATGAGCTGCCGGCAGCAGTAATTGTCTTGGTGATCGAGCATATTGCTATTTCGAAATCCTTCGGTCGCGTCAACAACTATACCATCAATCCTTCCCAGGAGTTCATCGCTATTGGCATCTCTAACCTCCTCGGACCCTTCCTAGGTGGCTACCCAGCCACTGGTTCGTTCTCTCGCACTGCTATCAAAGCCAAATCCGGTGTACGGACGCCGCTGGCCGGCGTCATCACCGCCATCGTCGTTCTGCTTGCCATTTACGCCCTTCCCGCCCTGTTCTTCTTCATTCCCAGTTCATCACTTTCTGCTGTTATCATCCACGCTGTCGGTGACTTGATCACGCCACCTAAAGTGATCTACCAATTCTGGCGCGTGTCCCCTCTCGACGCCATCATTAGTCTAATCGGCATCATCGTCATTATCTTCACGAGCATCGAAGACGGCATCTACTGCACAATCTGTATCTCGGTCGCAGTCCTGCTATTCCGCGTTGCCAAAGCCCGCGGTCAGTTCCTTGGCCATGTCCAGATCCACTCCGTCATCGGCGATCACCTTGTCGAAGAGACCGGATCAGCCAAGGAATTCAACACCGCCTCTCAGCTTTCCAGCTCCGATTACAAGCGCACATCTAGTCGAACCGTCTTCCTCCCCCTTAAACACACCGATGGTTCCAACCCGACCATCCCTATCACCCAGCCCGCCCCAGGCGTCTTCATCTACCGCGTATCTGAAGGCTTCAACTACCCCAACGCTAACCACTACACCGACAATCTGGTCGAACACATCTTCGAATCCACCCGACGTACCAACCCCTCCTTATATGCCACCCCCGGCGACCGACCATGGAACGACCCCGCCCCTCGCAAAAGCAAGGCCGAACACACAGATAACTCGACAGAACTACCGTTGCTACGGGCAGTCATCCTTGATTTCTCTGCTGTCAACAACGTTGACGTGACCTCGGTCCAGAACCTGATCGATGTCCGGAGCCAGCTGGACCGGTACGCCGCTCCGGATCGAGTCCAGTGGCACTTTGCTCATATCAACAACCGGTGGACCAAGCGGGCTCTCGCCGCTGCGGGATTCGGTCGGCCGTCGGATGTGCCTGAGCTCAAGCCGATCTTCAACATCACGGAGGGAGACTACCCTGGAGATAACTCGGACCAGCGTGCCAGTGATGTCGAGTCGCAGGTCGGCGATCAATTAAAGCAGAACAAGACCCGAGATGATAAGAGCGCTGAGGTTCTGAGTGTACGGGAGATGGACGAGGCAGCCAAGGGGTCGGAGAGGACAGCCGTGCAACGACGTGGAGAGAGCAAGCCGGCAGTGGTTTCCGGGGTGAACCTGCCGTTGTTCCATATCGACTTGAAGAGTGCCCTGGAGTGTGTGACGGCGTCGGTGTCTGATAACCCGGGCAAGGCGCATACTAGCTGATATGATTAATCTGTTGGAATTCCATACATAATTTACGTTAGACAATATTTTAGCTTACTTCATACATACTTTCCCCATATGTATAGAACTTATCCCGGTGTTCTAGAGTAACTGTAGGGCTAACCGAAATCTCCACATCGTCTCAGACGATCCCAACCCATCGGCGACTCTCTCGGCGAAACCCCGCATCTTAAATCAGACTGTCCGCGGGGTAAATAGTCAACAATATCTGCCGCCATTCGTTTGATATCCCTTCTCTTGACCTAACCTTCCATATCACACAGATCAAACAGATTAATAGACTACGAACCATGGGCTCCATCTCCCTCACCGACATGTCCAACCCCTCGTGC